ATGTCTTAAAACAGCAAGCACTGCTCTGGTACTTTGTGTAAATTATCCCGGGCCACTGCTTAATGTTTTTTATTTCTGATGCTTTGAAATTTTAAACTGAGGGTGTTCACATAACCTATAGCAGAAGCCTAGGTAAAGGGGTTAATTGGAGAGGAAATTCTTGCTTTGCTGTATGGGAGTTGTACTTTACTCCCCCTAACCCCCAGCAAATACAGTCCCCAAATTCATTCTTGTTTTGGTGGGAATTTAAATAAATCTTCCAGTTCCATCTCTCAGCCACAAATTGCTTCTGAACACAATTAGCCTTTCTACTGGTACTGGAGCCCTCTTTATTTATGTGTCAGTCCCTGTAAAGTGTAGGAATATATAAAATTTCACTCAGGCTTACACAAAAACTCCTCCTTGACCGAAATCTTGTGATTTCAAGGGAAGGAAGGAAGTAAGGACTATAGAAAATAGTCAATGTTCTATATCTTTTTTATACTTCCCTTACCCTCCTCTGCCTTTTGGAAACTTGTAGGTCAGGGACCTCCTGTGCTGAAGGCTGCATCTGTGCAGTCATCCCTCCTCCTTGCCTTTCCCCATTCATTTTCCTAATTTCCTTTCACATATTTTGTAAAAATAGCCAACAAATAAATCCATTTCAATACCTCTATACAGTCACTTTGTATCTTGGTGAAAGATATCTCCTTTTTTTAATATAATTTCCTCTAATGTGAGGATCACCTGGCCAACTTTCATATACACCCCAACTGCAAAACAGCCACCTTCTGATTCCAAGATCAGGCTAGAAATTATTTCTGAGACAATCTGCTGTTCAAAATCTCTCATTTGGCTATTCAACAGAGAAACATTTGAGTTTGAGAATGCAAAGGGAATTCATGTTTGTAATTAAGGGCCTCCCCTGTTCCCAGGGTATCTGCATTTGCATGGGGCCCTGCCATGGGCTTTCCCAGGCTGGCCAGGATCACTTCATCTTGCTTGGAACCAATTTTCCATCTTTAAAACCTTCTTTTCCTTGCAGGCAGGTCATGAGGCTGGATCCATTACTGCAAGCGAGAGGTTTTATTACTGAGGCGATAAGTGTCATGCCAATACAATAGTAATAATAAATAACTTCTCTAAAAGTGTAAAAGGCCTGACATTATTAATTGCATTTCAAGCTCTTGCAGCATGTGTGGATCAGGATTGAATGCAGAACAGACCAAAGGTTTTTCTCCTTGCTTGCGTTTTTACTCTTTGAAAAGAAATGTGTTTTGTTTTTTGTTCAGCTGAAATGTACTCAGTGCACTGAGCCTGCAACAAATCTCTCACCTTGCAAGCCCCATCACTCCCATCAGGGCTCAGATGTCCCTGCTGGGATGCAGAGATGGAGGGACATCCCTCTGGCAGGCAGGGGAGGTCTTTCTTTTTTTCCCTTTCAACAGCAAATGCAAATGTTCTGAATCTCAGTCATAAGCAGAGATGGTGTCAGATGACTTCAACAGGAGGCAATGCTTTCAGAAGCTTATGAAAAATGTCATGTTCTTCATCTCTCCTGCAGGCTGCCATTCACAGATAAACGTGCAGAGGGCCTCACAATTCCCCAAAAGTGACTAAAGCTCTTGGTTAAAGGCAGAAATTGGTCCCAGGTGCTGCGGGGCTCTGGCACAAAGCATTGGATGAGAGGCTGCCTTGTACATCTGAGTTGAGAAGCTCACAGATAAGTGCACTGAGCAAAAGCAGGTCACGTCAGCAGATTTAATGTGTCCTTTGAACCTCCTGCACCTCCTTTTCTGTCCTCTGCTATAACATTTATCTTCTTTTGATCATTTGGTAACAGGCAGTTGTTTCATTACAATGGAAATAAAAATAGTTGACACAAAAGGGTGGAGTTTTGCCTATTCAGAGCGACAGTGAAAAGTTGCACTCCTGAGTTGGCTGGAATAGAGTGAACATTATTAAGTGGTGACATGAAAAAGACCTCTCATAGGAGATAATGCCTTCATCCAATTAATCCTTCCTAATGAACTTACCCTTCAGAGGTGGGCAGAACAGTTTCAGCGTGAAGTTTGCTTCCTGTGATCATTTGTGCCAATAAAAGTCTTGTGAGGAAGCTGATGAAAACTGATGTGAATGTGCCTGAAGTTAATTTATTTTGATATTTGACTTGTCAGGAAAAGGAAAAAAAGTGGTTTGTACTTTTCAACCTGATCTGCCATTGTGCTCTCTCCTGATGATCCCATTCTTTAATAACTCTTCAAATTATAATAAGGCTCCGAGGCATCTGCTTCCCTTTGAATTTGCAGCTGAGAAAATTCCACGTTTGAAACACTTGGAAATGGAGTTTTATTTGATAACCTGCATTTTTGAGGTGGGCAACTACCTTGGTGAACAGCTTGATGGTTATTTCAGTAATAGTAGTGTAAAAATACTTTTCTGTCTCTAAGAAATTTGTATTGAGGAGAAAATAATTTTTCCACTGTGTTATAATGATACTTTGCACTTAGGCACATTCTTTTATCAAAGCATGTTTTATTCATCAATGCACCAGGCCCTCAATTGGTTTTGTTTAATTGTGACTCTCTTTATACATAGGCTTGGAAGTCCAACAATGACATTTCATTCCTGCTTTTTCCTGTGCTTTGGTGATCTCAAGAAAGAAAGTGTCAGAAAGGGGAAAAGAAATGTGAAAGTTCAACCAAAGCAGAAGTTGTCAGACTAAAACAAATCCAGAGGGAGGAAAAAAGTCAGAAAGATTGATAAGAAGATTTTTTAAAATCATATATTTATGAAGTGTTGGTTCTTTTATAAAACTGGGAGCTCTTGTTTATCTGCAGTAAGAACTGGCTCTAAAGGGGGATACCATCTCCAAATGAGGGCACCCAAAATTATCTACCTAGATCCTACCTCTGTTTTAATAACTCTTATTAGTGATCTGTTTTCATCATGCCAGTGAGTATTTTTGCAGCTTTGAAAAAAGAAAACATGCCTGCAGGTAAGGATTTAAGCTGATCAACTGAAATCTCCAAATTTTAAATATTGGCCACTACAACTTGTCTACTGCTATAAAATGATTCAGTGAAGTCATCATGAATAGCAACTCTAAGTCTTCCCCATCTCCAATTTAACCAGCAAAAAAGAGATATTTAATGAGGACAATGGAGCTAATAGCTGGGGAGAAATTATTTTCCAGCTGCTACACGGTTCTGGGGTCATGATAAAATTAACCACTTTGAAGTTGTGCAGCCCAGTTTCATACCTCAGACAAAGAATTGGGATAATTTTTGAGCACTGCAAGCTGCTCATACTTCTCCTACTGCTTATGGCAGAAAGGAATAGTTTTTAACTTGCACTTTGTTCAATATGGAAAAGCCAGTGTATCCAGCCTAGTGCATCCAGATGGTGGGCACTGAATTAATATTTCTTTTCTTATTCTGGAAGAGTGTCTCAATCAAAATGAGACTTTATGGCCTGTTTTTAATTTCACAGTCATAAAGATGAACATGCAACTTTTCCAGAGAAATAATTAGGTATCACAGAAAAAAGCACGTCCTCATCAAATAATAATAACACATTTAATTAAGTGAAAAAGTACACTAGCTCTAACAGATTTTACTGTCTATAATTTATTTCTAGATTTATGGGTATTTTGTAGTCCACAAGTCCACTAAGTATACTTAGTGTATAATAGTGTTTTTCTTAGTTATTATTTCTGTTTCTAATCCATGTAGACTAAAAACTACTGCATCCATTCTTTTCAATTAATGTCTTTGTGTAGTTTCTTTTAATAAAAACATAGTTCCTTTGCTATTTTTTTGCCAGACATTTGGCCCTGGGGCTAAACCAACCGATATGTATTTTTCTTTCCCTGGTGGTTCCATGGATGAGCTTGGATTAGAGTGGGTTCTTATCTAAATGTAAAACACATATAATCACATGTAATTGCCTGAAAACTGGCAACAGGTTAATTAGTGCAGACTCTGGTCCTGAGCTGGACATGCAGGTGGTGTAGTGGCTGTAAGACCCGAACTTAGGCCATCATGAGGCTCCAAACAGAAAAGGACATTTCTGCTGAGCCCAGTTTTCTGTGTTCTTTGATTGGATCTCCTCTTTAGGGCACTTTGGGCTGTGCCTCGGGGCAGGCAGGGGGATGTGCTGCTGCTGTCTTCCAGAGCATCAGCAGGTCAGGGAAGACACATTCCCTGAGCTGGTTTAAAAGCTCAGACTTGCTTTTTGGCTCGTGGCTGATGCTTGAGTGACTCCTCTGATGGTAAAAGACACTGATGCATCAGCACCAGCCAACGCCAGAGCCATCTATTTACCCAGGGAAGTGCTGCAATAGATCAATGTTAAATGCTTATTTGTGCTTCACTGCTCCAAGGCACAGAAACTAATTACCAAAGATAAATTAGCCCTTGTGACAATGACTAAGAAATACACGTCCCAGGATAGACCACCTTGACCACAAACACACATAATTCTGCCTCTGACGAGGAGCAGCAGAGGGTTACACAGCTCATCCTTCAGCCAGAGCTCACTCAGGGTGCAGTGCTGCTGGCTTTGTCATGTCCTGGAGAGCTGGGGACCATTTGCTTGTAACAGTGGTGGGAGTTTTGCACCACTTCATTAGTGGTTTGTCTCAGTCTCTTCTGCCTCTATTCAGAGCCAGGATTAACAAAAACACGATGGAAACAGATTTTCTTGTGTTTGGTCTTGGTTGTTTATTAAATCTTATTAAAAAGTACAGAGCGTTCAACAGCACTTCTAGCTACCTGCTAGAAGCGAGGACAATGGAGGAAGATCCAGCTGCTACAAGGTTTCTTAGAGCTAAACAGTCCAACAGAGAATTAACACTTACATTATTTATCCTTTTAACTCAAGAACCAGATTCCCATCACCCTTAGTGTGACACTGACTGACCAACCAGGAACTACTACCTGCAACCCATGACAAAGAAGGAAGAAGAAGGAAGATGAACACTGAAAAAGACAACACCCGAAATCCTCCATATTTTCTCATACCTATTACTATACTATAAAAATTTCAAATTTAAAACCCATCACCCTGTGAAAGCACACAATTCTATTTCACTACACACTCGTGATTTTAACTCCATCACTCAAATTTAGAAGCTGTCTCCAAGGTCTCAGGTCAAAAGCAATGTTCTCCAGGGGGTCAGTGCCTGACAGCACAGAAAGCTGGAAAACCCCAGGGTTTCTGGGATCCAACATTTGCTGAGCCCCTGACTCTTCCTTGTCCCCATAGGAGTCATTCACTTGATTTCCATGTGTCTCTGACCAGCTGTGGATTAGCAGCAGCAACAAATAAATAAAACACCTTATGCAGATACCAGCAGACCTGACTGATGGCAAACTGACCCCAAGGGATTTGAGTTAATACATGAGCTTATGAGCTCTGCCTTTACACCTGGGCCGCTCAGGAACTGCAAATGCCTTGCTCTGTGTCACCTGGGCAGCACTCAGTAACAAATGGAAAGTTTTTAATTTTGGGTGTGAATATGAAGTTTTTTAGCTAAAGGCCCTTGGTGTTTCTCATGGCAGCTTTAATCAGCAAATGAGAGCTTGTCAGAGTTGCAACAGGTTTGTAATGCCACTGATGCTTTAAGTTTTATCTCTCATATTTTTCAGATTCCATACTGCCTTAGTGTGTAACTCTGAACTTCATATAAAGCATTAGCAAGTTCTCCCCACAGTTTAGTCAGACAAAACAATCCTTTTCCAGCCTGAGAACCAAGGACACTGCTGCAGCTTCAGACCCAAAAAGTGCAAACAGGAGGGAATTGAGGAGAGCAGCCTGGGAGGATGGGACTGCAGAACCTGGAGCTGTAATTGGACAATTAACCCCAATATGTAAATGAACCAAAACTTATAAAAGTGTAAAAACCTGTGGTCCATTGTCCATCTTGGGTCCATATTGGGCAGAGCCATGGCCAGGCTCTAGTACTGCCCAAGGTGTGTCCTTTGAAGGCCTTTTAATAAATACCTCCTTTATTGATTTAACTCTAGCCTCTGTTCCAGGCCAGCCTCTTTAGGCATCACCACTTCTTTGGTTATCCCTCCCCTGGACCTTTTACTTCTCTCTTCCACATTCAGTGGATCTGAATGCAAAAATTTCTATCCCATCCTATTCCCTTATTCTCTAACTGGAGCTGAGGGACTCGGAATGGATCTTTGGGAGACTGCAGAGCTCCTCTAAATTTTCCCTGCAAAGAAAGCAGAAGAGAGCTGCTTCCATTAACTTTCTGCCCCAAGCCCTTACAAAAGATCTGACTAGGCTGGGCACTGCATTTTCCACAAATTGTGTAAAACCAGAGTACAAAGCCATTATGGATTCAACCCTGCTCACTGTATCCATCATAACAAGCTCAGGGGAGACCTGCAGGACTGCAGGAGGAATAACTTGAGTGGGAAAACTTTGGGAACACTCACAGTGCCTGGGGGAGGGTCATGCTGGTGTCAACATCTGTGGGAAAGCTCCTCTGTAAGCCAGGTTGACTAAATTGCTCTCAAATAACTCAAAAATGGCTACACTCTTCCCTATCTCCTACTTCTATGGGCAGTACCTCTACCACCTGAAATATCTTAGCATTCCCCTTGCCCTTTTCACCTGGTTGTATCACTGTGGCACCACAGACCCATCTCATGTTGGAACAGAGCAGGCCCTCACCTGTTCCCCTGTGCCATCCCAAATTGTCCTTTCAGCTCTCAAGGACATCCATTCCTCTCAGTATCATATCCCAATTCTCCTCTGTACTGAAGGCACCCCCTGGGTTTGGGGCATCAGCACAATTTCATCACCACAATCTTCCTTTTCTGCCAAGATCATGAATGGGAATACTGAGCTGTGTGACTGACCCTTGAGGAAGATCCTGGAAAATGCCTCCAGATCTGGTGCTTTCTGAGCACACTTTGTTTCTGGACCCCAGGTATAATTAAGAGGCATAACCTGTATTTTTATAACTATGTTTTAGCAAGCTAATATTTTCTAAATGTGAAAATCCCAATTGTTGCCTGAGAAAGTGAAGCATCACTCGTGTGTCTGTGACATCCTCTGTCCACGTGCTTCCCAGCCAGCAGAGCAAAGCGCTGAGGGAGAATTGTAAAACGCCCTGAACCCCCTGTGCTGATTGGGGTGCACACATCAGCTCTGGCTTCCAGGTGTGGGGACACTGCCCCTGTCCCTGCCAAGCCATCAGGAAAGGATTGGCTCCAGCTCTTAACCCAGCTGGATTTTATAGCATCTTGCCAAGCCCTGGTTTGCAAGCCTGGAGGTACAAACTCGAAGGTTACAGCTGGGTGGGGTTGTACCCACTCCATCAAAGCTCCTGGCCACGTTAGTGCTGTCGCAGGTAGTTTTCCATAATTTTAGTTTCCATCAGCAGAGGTCAGCATTGCCCTGCTGATGGACGGCCACATCCCCACCTGCAGGGAACAGCAAAGCATCACAAAATCAGTTTTCATCAGTCCTTGTTCTTTTATCGTGATGGATTTTGTCTTTGGGCTCCAGCAGCTCCTGGAGGGGCAGGGGACCAAGCCACCAGCTCTGTCTCCTGGGAAGTGCCAAGGGAGGCTGTGGGGTGGCCTTGCTCATGAAAGGGGCTGTTCAAGGTGCCTGGGGACAGCAGAGATGCACTCAGGGTGCCTGGGGACATCAGGGGTGCACTCAGGGTGCTGTCATGGGACCTGTGGGACACCTGTGTCCACCCAGAGCTGCAGCTGGAGAGAGGCTGATACCCCCAGCACCACAAACATCCCCAAACACGGACAAGCAATGGAGTCTGGGGGCTTGGCCATGGATCTGATGTTCCCTGTTCATATCAGAACTGTATTTTGTCTAACTGATTTATGCCTTGTTAAATGGCTGAGGGATGTTATAAGCATGTAAATTAACTGTTATTGTATATAGATAATTATAGCACTTCTAAACAACCTATTGACAACCTAGTCAGTCCATTAAATAATTGCTCATTCTCTGTGAACATCGTTTTGACACAAGGTGGGTCCAGCAGAGGAAACAAAAATGTGAGCCAATCCTCCAGGGATCAATCTATTGCCTAATTTCTGGGCTATGTCCCTAATATTTTTTCCTGAGTTGGGAAATTCACCTTTATAACTACTAGTAGTCTTTATTTTGAAGTTTTGGGGTTTTTTACTTACATAGTGAATGATTCAGCCAGGCGGTTTCCAATCCATATGTTCTGCACGCTGCTGAAGTTACACCACCTGTGACACATAATGAAAATATTGCACACCAACAAGCCAGCAGCAGCTCAAGTCAAACTGGTTGCCTCAGTGTTGTTGTCAGCCAAAATCCCAATCTCATAATATACCCTGGGAGTTGTTGACAGGAGTAGTTTCCATGCTGTCTGGCACTGATTGTGTGCCTCCACTTGGAGCAGGGGGATGATCCAGAGCAAGGCTGTCCCTGTGTCCTGTGGGGACAGTGCTGGCAGCCCTGCAAAGCAAAGTGGCTTTGATGTCTCCATGGATGGACAAGGTGCTGATCAGCCTCTAGTCTGGGTTGAGGGAAGTGGGTTCTATCTTCCCCTTTGCACTCCAGGAGGTACAGAATTTTAGAGGATGAATTTGGGCTGAATGCTTGACAAAAATAAACAGTTTGAAGGGTGGGTTTGGTGTATCCTGGTAATGACAGAGAAATTCAGGTGCAGTGCTAAACTTGGTGAGCTTGGCCTTCAGCACTGGCTATCAAATTGAAGATCAACATGAAATCACCCCAAACATGTGTGTGATGTGAGAGACTTTGTGGGATTGTTCAAGGGAAGCTGCCTAGGGGGGGCAGGACTGAAATCTGTTAGAGGAATGAACCCTTATTGCCATTCCCTCAGTGTCCCTCAGGCATTTTATTGTATCTCATACATCTCTGTGCTTTCTTAAGATTTCCTTCTCTTGCAGATGTTGGCAAGGCCCACAGCAATCCTGTATGAGATCCCAAATGAGAAGTACACCAGTGGGACGAGGATGAACACAGCAGCTTTGGTCTCAGGACGTTTGGATGTGGTGCCACAAGGAGATGAAGAGCTCCCTGTGTGGTGGGGGCAGCCTGGCCCTCCCTGCTCCCCCACCTCTCCACCCAGCAGTTTGAGAGGTGTTTTCTATTGAGTTCATAAAAGAAGCACCACACAGAATCCCCTGGCTGTGGCAATAGATTCAATCAGTCTCAGTCCATTAGCTTAACTAATCAATAGCTCTAAGTGCCATAATGCTGTCTCCTACTTCATCACTAAAGCTGAAAACTTACAGGAGGCCACGTGTAATTACGGGCACTCTCTCCATTAACTTCAGGAAAATTAAACAGCCAATATTTGGGTGTCTGGCAGGTTACTTCTCTCAGGAAAGCTGGCACATCCAACTCAAACAGAGCTGATTAACGGGAAAAAAAAGGCACATTTTTATCAAGGTTTTTCATGATGTTGTCATGTCACTGTCACCCCAGCAGCTCAGGGTGTGTTTTGGATGGCAGACCTGCATCTCCCCACTGCAATTTGTGTTGCTGGCCTCAGCTGCAGGGACCTGAGACAGAGATGTGTCCCGGTTTGGAATGACTGCAAAAGATCCCACTCCCTTGCTCTGGAGTGAGAAGGAAAATTGCAAGAAATAACACCAAGGGAAAAAAATTCCACAAGTAATAACAATTAATTTAAAACAACAACAACAACAGCAACAACAATAATCCTCTTCACAACTTTTTTTGCTTGTTCCTATGCTGTAAATCCTCTGTCTGGAAAAAGGGTAGCTCCAAAATTTTATATTAAGCTCCCATTAAAGCAGAAGTCTGCCTCTGGGAAGCCAGAAGTGGACCACATTTGCATTTTGTGCCTGAGGCTGGACCTTTAACCCTGCATTACCAGCAGCATTCCAGAGCCAGGGGGTACATCCACAGCCCAAATCTCTCCACTGGGCTTTGAGTTGTAAAACTTATTAACTATAGCAAGACTGTGTTTTCTCAATTCTTTTTGCCATAACTGATATTCTGTAACCAGTTCCAGTTCTGTTTGCCTTCCCATGTACTGTACCCATCCTTGTGTGTCCTAATTTGAAAGATATTCCCCACTGTCTTCCCCCACTCTTCCCAGTTCCCTTGGAATCTGGATGTGACTGCAAGAGGAAGACAAGCAGCCAGAGCATGGCCAGGAGGTGACTCCCATCACTGAAATCAGGAGCAAATCCTGAAACGCTTCTTTTGTCCTCATTAACTTCGCCAGAGGTTGTCAGAACAGAGACAAAATCAAACCCAAGTGAAACACCAAATATGATCTGCAGAGCAGGCTCATCCCAGGGTAGAGATTGCAAAGAGGATTTCTGCTCAATAAAAGCATGAATGCACCTGTATATAAAGAAACTCAGAGGCTTTTGTCTGTGGGAAGATGAGAGGTGAGTAGGGATCAAAATAACAAGATGGCAATGTAGCTTTCTAATAAAAGCCTGATGTCTTTATAGTAACTGGTCCCAGGCTTATTTAATCAGGAAAATAGCTGGGAGTTTAAATAACTTGCAATATAAAGCCTGCACAAAAGAGAGAGTGAGCAGGCTGGGTAGGATATGCCCGTATCTTGTGGGAGGATGTGAATTTGAAAGAAGTAGTGACACTTAGAAACTGCCTACAATGGCACCAGCTGGATTGAGGGGAGAGATAGAAATGGTATTAAAAATATATTATTTGCAGCAGCAGTTGCAGGCCTACAGGGCAGAAAGGGAAGGGAGAGCAGGGATCATGGAAAGAGATAAGGGGGGCAGGTGAAGAGTGAGGACAGCAGGCTGGGAATGGCAATTGCTGGGGCTGTAACAGGAGAAGGAGCTCAAAGGATGCAATCAGGGACTGAGCTGCCTCCTTCCAGGTCTGCCCACTGCAAACTCCCTGCAGGCATCCCTCACCAGGCATCCCTCACTGCCCCTTCCAGCCCACACAGCCTTCCCAAAAATTCCTTTTCAGACACAGATCTTCTCATCCGGCTTCAGAGCAAATAAATAAAATGAATAAACCTTCAGTTTGAGGCTTGAGGAGATGACTGTCATTTCTTTGGGAATGGCATTTCACAGAGGGGGGGAAATCCACAGTACATCTAGGGAAGCTTTAAGATGGCCTTTTCAACATCTCTTGCTGAAACATGAATGGGCTCTGCAGGGAGGAGCTTCCAGTCAAGGCTCCTGTTGGCTCTAAATTAAGTTGTAATTAAAAAAAACCCTAAATGACAGCACTAGCCATGAAAAGCTGTGGCACATTTTCACTCGAGCAATGTTATAGAACTATGTCAAGGGCTTTTGCATGATCCATGTACCTTGTACTGATAAGTACTAGCAAGGAAGCAGTGATTTTTTATTGATATTTCACTGTGAAATTCCACATTTGCAACGTCTTTTGGCAGTAGGTGGTATGCTCAGCTCCAAAATTAATATATTAGTTCAAACTCTAGTAAAAGAAAGTAGTATAAATTAAAGCATGGCTGTGCTCAGAGCCAAGCTTCAGCATGGCTTTGGAGAGCAACTTCTTGCATTGGCAGGTGGTGATAAAACAAGGGGGGATGGTTTTAAACTAAAAGAGGGCAGGCTTAGATTAGATGTTAGGAAGAAATTATTTTCTGTGAAGGTGGTGGGGCCCTGGCACAGGTTGCCCAGAGAAGCTGTGGCTGCCCCTGGATCCCTGGAATTGTCCAAGGCCAGGCTGGACAGGAACTGGAGCAGCCTGGGACAGTGGAAGGTGCCTCTATCCACGGCAGGGAGTTGGAACGGGATGGTCTTTAAGGTTCCTTCTAACTCAAAGCATTCTGTGATTATCTGGCCATACCAGGCCCTGATGGGTTGCAGACCATCTCAATTTCCACCTGGAATGGCAGAGTCCCAGGCTCTAACTGTGCCTGTTGATCATAACATCTGTCATTAAAAAAAGGTGAAGTCATTGTTAATAGCAGTTTGCAAAACTGTTTCTGTGGTCTTGCCTGCAGTTTGTTTTGTGGCTGTGAGTTGCACAGTGCCATTAAAACTCACTCTGCCGGGTGTGCTTGAGGGCTGGAGAGGCCAAGGGCACAGCAGAGCAGCCCCCACCGGCCAGCCAGGCTGCTTGCAGGATCACTTGGTCTTTATTTTTCTTATTCCTCCACCTCGACCCATTGTTAGGCCTGGGAGAAATAAAAAGAGCATGAGCTGAGCTTCACCTCCCGTCTGTGCCCCAAGGAGATGCCTGGGGCCACACAATTCCCCTGAGAGCATCCAGTGCTGCTGAGCCCTCTTCCCACACAGGCACTCCTAAAGCTCACTGATCCTCCCCTTCCACAGATTCTCATCAGTAACCTGTGAGAACATCCCACCATTGTCACTGAACGGGCAGAAGGGGCAAAAACTTGTGGGTTGTAGGGAAAAAAAGAAGAAAAAAGGGCAAAGAAGAAAAAGGAAAGGCTGGTGTGGAGGTGCTGGGTGCAAAGCCCCATTTCCAGGATGCTGTCTG